AAACATAAAACCAGAAAATCAAGACACAAATTTGCCATGAACGAATCAAATCCAAGATCTAAGCATTTGTAGAACTTAAACCTTGTTGAAGATTCTGCAGAGGAATTTTGGTGTACAGATTTGAGGCATATTATCTCCCCCTTAGAAATGTGCGCATAATATTGTTCCCACGGAAATTTGTGGACAAAATACTTATCGTTCTGAACAATAAGCGGAAAATGTTATGACTTTCCCTCCAGAACTCTCCCCTGTGCGATTCTCTCTCTGGCTCACGGCAATTGAGACTTGGGAATGTGTATTTCCCCGCGAGACAATAAAATGCACACATAAGCTCCGCAGCCTTCAATTGCCAGTGCTTAATTTCCATGGAGTGCGCGAGTTTCCGCGGGGCGGGGATTCGATCGGGGTGAGAGGTTGAGATAAAAGTGTTAAATATAAGCAGGAAGCCTTTGATACTCCTATTGATCATTTGCAATCATCGAGGCTTCTTGAGAGCACGCGCGCGAGTGTCTTCGAGGCTGATTTTCAACAAGTGCTTTCTGGCCAAGGGTTCGATGAGGCAAACTGTCCCATTAAGAAACACCTTCGGGAGAGTGTTAATGATCGAGTATCGCGAGTGACACTTGCCCAACTGATAAGAATCTTCATGTGTCGCGGCCTCAAGGCGCGATCAAGGATCACTTGGAAGTGATCTTCACGTGTGCGACCAGAGAAATTATCGCGCTTCACCCACGCGAGTGTTTTTCTTCTTTTTTTTATTTTGAGGAATTGCACTGAGAACAGGAAGTGCCTTTAGCATCATCAAACGGTCAGAATGACCTCAATCTTTCTGACAATTTATCGGTGATATTTGAGTGATTTATGGATCAGTGGTGAATTTAATGACTTTTGTGACTTCTGAGTTTCTTGCACTCTGAATTTCCAAACAACTTCGAGGGATAAAAAGTAAGTCATCTTCAGGAATGCTAAAACTTTTCACTCATTCACCTTCAAGTCTGTCTGGGCTGTATTTTTTTCCATGACGTTGATCTATTTTGTTTGATTTTCGATGGCGGCATCATTTGGGATTTTTACCCAAACTTTATTTGGCTATTTTTATCGCTGGGGAAAAAAGCAGTTTTCAATATGTATTTTTAACCAAACCTCCAATTTCGATGGAAAAAAAAATTTTGACTCACAGTGCAAAGCAAACACCTTCAGTGAGAAATTAAATGATAAATTTGCTTGAGATGATTTGTAGAGTTGATATTTGCCATAAAAGTTAGTGACACGCGTTGCAGAAAAATATTTGACGATCGTGATAACAGTCTGCTGATAACCCCAAAAACGACGAATTGACTTTTAAGAGACTCTTAAGACTGCCATCAAATGCTGTTTACGTAGCAGTTAAAATCGGTGGCAAAAAGTGACCCTAACCTTGAAGGCACCAGTAAAAGTGTTTGCGTTCAGCGCCAAGAAAATGAAGATACGGCGCGGCATGTGATGAAGCATGCGCGGAAAAGATCGCGAAATTGTTTGCAAGACATGAGACAATATTTTAACCGGATTGCGTGCGAGGTTCGGAGGACAAATCCGGGGGATTTTCCCTCCGCCACGAGGCCACCTGAGTGTCCTGACCGAGGAAGTGAGCCGTAAACAAGGAGGATGACTGGGTGATTCCCTCAATTAGTTAGCCTACATAAATTGTCTGGATTCGTGATTATTGATTTACACACGATGATTTAAGCCTCAACCTCGCTGGCTCACCCAAGGCAACATGATTGCATTCTGCAGACGATTGATGTGGCAAAATGACCATTTAATTCATCAAAGAGGATATTAATTGCGAATGTAATAATACAGATTTAGTGTCCTCATGCAAATTTCATCACTTAGCTCACATAAAATAATATTAACGAGAGAATTATGCAAGAGATGTGCGATTTTTATCGCTCATGATGGTTAATCATGTAGTGGAAATTATTTTCCTCGTACGTGGAAACATCGATGCCATCTCTTCTCAATTTACGGCCCACTTCGCACTCTGTCAGACATCGGAAATGTCTGAGAAAATGAAAAATAGCACGCAATCAATTGCACCGAATCTCTTAAAATGTGGCCATTAAGAGATATCTTTCGAGGAGTTGTTGCGAAAAGTCAATAATACAGTCAATTCCAGAACTTTGGCAGTGCTTAAAACATGAGTTTTCTTCTCCTTTTTCCGAACTTCTAACATTTTTCCAATCGCCTAAAGTATCATAACCTAAAATTTAAGGGTTTTTGTCCTATAAAATTTGCAAACTTGCAGAGAAATAATTGTATTTTAGAAATATTTGTAGTTTCCAGTAGATATTTTAATGTGATTCAATTTTCATTTGCTCTTTTGAATGTATTTTGAAACTAACCTATAAATTACTTTGAGATCTCTAAAAGAATGCTTGAAAGATAAATAGGAAATAAGCTTAAATTTGCCATTTCAGAGTAGAAAATCAATTAAACACATCTTAAAATAGTTAATTTTGCATAATTAAATAATACTTTTGAGGTTATGATCAGCTTTGGCGAAAGAATGTATGATTTTTTAGGTTATTCAGGGACAAAATTTATCTTCAATTTAGTAACATAACCTAGAAAGACCTAAAAAAAAACAATTCTTTTTTCGTTAAAAAAATGAAACACTTCTACTTCTCAAGTACTTCTGTTGAGCTTTACACCACTTCTGGCCATAATATCTCCCCCTTGTGAAAAGTAGCACTTTTTTTTTAATTACCAACAACACTTTGGAGCAGAAAGGGAGAATTTTTCACGCGTGCGCAGGTTCATCGCTTGATTGTTGAAATCTTTCGTTTGAATTAGAGTGCCAAACTCGGTTAATCACTAAGTCTGCATACTGGAGCTTCATGTAATGATTGATGGGCACATCTTAGAGATATTTGTCTGCATTTATTATACAATTATATGCAATTCATACTCCACTTACTCAACGCTATTCATTCACACTCCTCACTTTGCGATCATGAAAGGTTCGAAGCTTCTTCCAACGTCTGTCATTATTCAATTCGCTCTCGTGTGCAACTGTTATTGATTCAATTAGCCACGAAATTGCAATATTATCTACGCTGTCGCGTCTTTTGCAGCTCTCCGTGAACAATACAAAAAGCTGCTTAAAATCTCATTTGTACATTGTTGCAATTTGCAATAGATACGAAACAATCGCTCATCAGCGATGATAGATGGAGAATTTCAAGATATCACCAGCAAGGACGACAGTCATATTTCCGCGAATTGAATCATTGAGCTCAGTTTTTCACGTTTACATGTTTGAAATTCAATTTCCAGGAATTTCTCTTTCGCACCTTCACTAATTCCACAGTTTGTACAAATAACGAGCCACAACACGTTGCATTGATCGCAAATCTACGTTATCCTGCAACTCTGTGTCTGCAGCTCTGATGAGATAAAAGTGAGGAATTTTCATACCATATAAACCGTTCGCTCGCGACCAGATGACATAACGCCTGTGCAAGCGTCACGAATGCACACAGATAATCGCGAATATCACGGGAAAGCGTCTGCAAATATTTCACATGATGCTAAAGGTCACTTATTCGGTGTGTCTTCAATCACAATAAATCCCGAAAAAAAACCCATGTCATCTTCTGCTGTATTGTGAATCACTGTGACGCGATTTCGTGGGTGCTCATCATGGGAATTAATCGGGAGGGCAAACAGAGATGACACAGAGTTATCTCAAGTTTGAATCAACAGACGAAGAGGTGAAATGTGTCACGACGATGGAAAATTGATCAAAATTGCGGCTTTTTGTCATCGGCGCGATAATTACTCGGAAGGCATTCGGTGCGAACAATTGTGCCAAAGCTGAAATTAAATTTCCACCTGAATTACCTTTGTTACATTGTAAACAAGAAAGAGAGGGAGAAAATTGTATGAATTTCTCTTTCATGCGGCACAGATTTATGATACATCTCTTCGTATTTGTTGTCACTCAATTGCAATTGAGTAATTTCTTGCTTCACAAGGTTCTCAATGAATGGATGAAAATGACACAAATCTTGCAGGCTTTTTTCCCCCTGCAAAGCAACCTTATGCAGACACTATATGAATGGTGACAGAAGTGTAACAATCCAGTGAAAGCTCGATTTTGCTTACTATATTAGGAAATGCTGGACAAAGAAATCTTTAAAGGGTTGCTAATATTGGGGATCACTCGGCCAGTTCAATTCCATTATTATTTTGCAGGTTTTCAAGAAACAAAAACATGTATTTTATCTTGGATATCTCTTCAAAATTTTGTTATAAAATTATTCTGCACATTTTTTAAGGAGCGAAAGGCGAATTTCTTACCTAAAAGGCTTGAAAACACCCAACATTGCTTAAATACTTAATCTTTAATCGGATATTTACGGTTTTACGTTAAAAAAAACCATAAAGTGTCCTTTATTCGTTCAATGTCAATAAGTTCTCCTTAAATTTCACATGAAATTCCTTTTTCCACTCTTAAAATATATTTTTCTCACAAAAATTTCTAATTTCTGTATAGAAACACATTTTTTCAAGTTTTGTCTTGAAATTTTTACCCAATTTGCTCTTCAGAATTTTCTTGTATATTCATTTTCCGTCATCTTGAGCGTATTTTCCAAAACGACGAAACATCGCGACGCTGTGAAGACGCAAGATGCTGTGGCATTGAAAATCTATTTTAGAAACCCCTTGAAAATCTTCATCTTTATCAAATTACAACACTTTGGGGGGGGGGGGGGAAGACAATATATTTTTCTCCTCTGGAGTACAAAGTATAATTCCATATGTTGAAGACAAATTGCGGCTCATTCAACCGAAAGTTGTTGTAAATTGACAAGCAACTGAAGACACACGGAATCGATGAATCTCGCCGATTGATCACGCACACAATGAAGAGGTGGAAAAGTTTTTTTCCCGCCACATTATTTGCACACAAACACACGCTCGCGGTGCCGACGAAACGGCAAAGCTCTCCTACCCACCAACTTAAATAACTTACATTAACGATTCGCGAGCTTAGATTGTGGCTGGCTGCATGCCTCACAGAGCGCACTTGATATCCGAAAGTCTCGCACGCTGGCATCGGTCAGAAAGTGAATTTCAACCACCGCTCAATTCGCGACTGAACCTTTGGTTAACCACACGCAGTCGCTCCTCGCAGTCCAAGTGCTTCCAAGACAAATCCTTCGTGACCAAGAGTCCCTAAACGCCCTCTCTCTGTCGCTCTTGCGCTCCCACCCGAGGAGTGATAACTTTTCCGGGGACATAAAATTCGTGTAAGATCGAAAGGCAAAAATATATATTAAATTTTCAATTGCCGCAATTTCATCACAGGTGATTTTCTTAGTGGTGATTAAATCAGCAAATAATGAAATCGTGCTCAGCCATTTGTTTTTATCCCTTCCTCATCAAATGAAACACATTTTACAACAAAACTCTCTTGCCATTTGGTGACAATTCCACTGGAACGGATTTTTCATCACCAAATTGGTAGTCAATAGACGCGACTGGTTTGGATCCGCAAGACGGAGCTTTCGGCTGACGGTGCTCGAGGAGTGAACATATCAAAATCCGGAGTTTTACTCGCGCTGGAACTTCTTCGCGAAGCGTTGTGCAAAAGGGTGGATTTTACAGGAGTGTAGAAAGGATCTGGAAAAACGCCATGTAATTTGTGGATTTCGTGCAGTGCTAAAACATCCAGTGCTTCCTTGGCATTAGTCCTTCCCTTTAGCCAACAAAAATGGGAATATTGACTCATTGGTGGGCATAGAATAACAATCCTCGTCCAGCAATTCTACCAGTGAAATTGGAGCTTAAAGTGAGTAGCAAATTTTCCGTACAGATTCACTTGCGACAGTGGCCGAAAAGAGCGCCGCCAAGCAATTACTTTAGGCAATGTCTGTGTCCAAGAAATGATCACTATGGACAATTGAGGAATGTAGAAATAAGAGGGGAAGATAACTGGTGAAATCCACTGCAATGTCAGTGAAAATACTGGTCATTTCAGAGAGGATTTCCCCTGTGGAAGGGATTGAGAGAACTGTTGTGAAGAGATTAAACTTGCACTTCCGTAAATTGTCCATAAAAAAACATTAAGCGAATCCAAGGTGACAATAAATTTATCTGTCTTTAATAAAATTATTAATTGAGTACTATTTAAATAGCAAATGTTAATCTCCTGACCTGTGTTTATTCTTCGCAATTCTTAATGCATTTCCCCGTGCAATGTTAAGACTTGCAGAAGACCGAATAGGAAGCTATATATCACAATGTCGGACAGACAGTAGCGAAAATTAACTTAAGACACCTTGTGAAATATTGGGTATTTTTGTGTGCTAAAATCGCTACAATTCTGAATTCTATTGCGGCGTCGCATGTCTTGAGAAAGCCTAGTTGCGATCTTATCCGGCCACACAGTGATGAGCGTTCCTATTCTACACTTAAATGAAGAAATACTTAGAATCACACGAAAAGCAAGTTGACAAGTTCAAATCAAGGCGTCAAATGATGTACATAAATGTCTTCTAGACATTCCCAACTCATGATTTAATGTGGTTATCCGAGCCAGTTTTATTCAGAGTCTTAACTTAATTTTCGCAGTCTTTTTGCGCATTTCTCTCTGTATTTCGCGATATCTTGGCCCTTAATTGAGACATCGTTATTATCTCAACGCCATTTGAAGGATCATTAAATTCATAATTATTTTGTGTCTTCATAAAATTGTTTCAAAATTTGAAGGAAATATCGAATTTTTAGCATCCAAATTTCTTAGGAGTCTTAAGCTAATTTTCGCTACTGTAAATTTTAACACCTATCAGTGTCGCAAATAAATGTCACCCAGAAATGTCTTTTACAGCTTTTTTGGCGATTGAAAAACCCCTGCGAAAGAGCATTTCTTTCGCTGTCTTCATGTGACAAAAGCCTATCATCAGTCCGACTTGAATGTCACATTACATTGAACTACATCTTACATAATGAGTTCCGTTGTGGAGCAAAAAGACGTGTAAAGTAAAGTGAAGACATGCGAAAATGTGTGATGTCTCTCCGTCTGTGGAGAAGTGAATTACGCAATTTCAATATAATATTTATTGTAAATTTGTAAATAGTAAATTATTATACTATAAATACCTTAATTATGTAATGCCTGTGTGTACGGCAAACATGGTGCACTCTCGAGACAACTCCATGGCGATGAGCGATGCCAAAATGGGTGAAATTGAAGGAAAAAAAAATCGTTCTTTCAATCAACTTTTGATGCACACACATTGGCTGGTGATTTTCAGAGTGTCTGTGTCGATTTTGCCACGGTGCAAATGACTCCACGATGACTTCTCACTCCTCATTTTATGTACATATCGCGATATAGCGATTGAAAGTGAAATCAGTGATAGAGCTCCTTTACATAATTAACCATTTGGCGGGGAAAAATCCACGCTGCATTCTCATGCCGCCCAATTTTCGATGATATTGCGGGGTTCGTCGCCTCGTTGATGTCTTTTGTTCGGGGCGCAGCGCAAAAATTGCCGTCACATTCTGCATCGCGGTGCATTCCAGTGCGCCAGACTTTTACACTCTTGTGGACCTGTTCGAGACCGAAAAACCAGTTGCACTCGTTGGTATATATCTCAAAAAATAAACATAAGCCGCGTGATGTAATCCCCGTGCAACAGAGTTATTGTACACAAAGTCTCGTGCGTACGTCAAACGCGCGCGCGATATTGCAATTGTACGCACAAGAGCTGCAATCTTCAGCACGAGCGTGTCAGACAAGAAGAAAGTTTCGTTCTAGTTTCGTTTTTCTTTGCCTATATTTCTCTTTGACCCATAAATCTATGGATTGAACAGCAGCACGGCATTCTGCATTGGCCAAGAACTGCGCGCCAGTGAAATCAGATCAGGCAGAATTCAACTTTCCATCGCGCGATTCTTTTCACTTTTATTGATTTTTACGATGTTCCACTCAAATCCAAACAGGTCGCAAATCATCAACAAACTAACAAGGGGGAGATAATAGAGCCAGAACTGGTGTACAGCTCAGCAGAAGTAATTAAGAAGTGAAAGTGTTGAAAAACCTTCAATATTCCTTTCTTGCGTGCTTCTTTTAATGAAAAATCATCCAAATTCTTTAGATTTTCACCCAGAATCGATCGTTAAAATTCTTTTCTAGGTTATGTAATGAATTAAGAACAGATTTAGAGAATAATACGCATACTAACGCATCATTTCCTGTACTAAAGTCGCCAAGATCACCAAGTATTGGCAGAATTAAGCATTTTCATGTCCAAAATGTGTCAAAAAAACACTGCAAATTGTAATAAAATTGAACATAACCTCAAAAATAGTCATTTGAACTTGAAAATTGTTCATTTAGAAAGCTTTTTAGACAATTTTGACTCTGAATCAGCAATTTTGAGCTCATTGGCAAATCATGAAAAGATGATTTTGTGATCTAGAATGCTTTCAAACGGAGTTTTTGAATATTTCTTAGTGATATTTTGAGGTTATGTTTGTGAAAAATGTGCAAAAATGCGTTTTAAAGTCGATTTTTGCAGAAATATCTGATGGAAACTTCAGAGATTCATTATAATTTTCTTAAAATATCAAGTTATTGAATTGTCAGGCAAATTTGGGAGAGATTTAAGGCATATTATCCCCCTTGAAATCTCATAAACTATTTTTCAAAGCAAGATTGTAAAAAGTTTTCAAATCCGCGAGAGTAAAAGGTTTATCATGCCCTTTCATATCATTTATAACCGCACAAAAATCACGCAATTATAATTTTCATTCATAAAAAAAACTCTCTTATGATTTGATGTACATTTCGTAGAGTTACAGTTCGACGCAAGAAATTTCAACTCTTTTATTTAGAGGAAGTTGTTAAAGTTTTTTTTCGGTAATATAAGTCACTTTATGTTAGATGAATGTGATGAAAAAAGAGTTTATTTACTCACTGTGAAGCCCTTGAGTGCCCTTGTAAATGAAAATGATTAAAACAGAGTCTTGTGTTTTCACTCAAATCAAACTATGATTGACAATAAATCCAATAAACATAATTGTGTCAGCATCAACCTTCGATGACATTTCGTTATTACGAATTCCAAAAAATATACCGCGCATTACGAATTGTTTATTGCCTCAATTGCAAGTGATTTTGGATTTATTTTCTATTTACAAAGAAAAGAAAAGTGTCTTTTTTGTACCCTTCATGGTTAATTGGAAAAATCAAGGGCTCTCAATTGAGAGCATTTGGCGACATGCACTTCAATTGGCCCAATGTATGTATTCACCTTACATTATATTATCTGCGATTTGTTTGATTTTCCCCTTCAAATTGCAAATCACCTTTGAAATATTGATTTCAGCGCAATTAAACGGGTTTTCCCAACAAAACACTCCACATGTGTATTCAATACAATTTTAGCAACATTGCAAAAAGAGAAAAATTCCCTGAAATATTCATAAGAAATTTACAAATCAATTCGCCCTGAAAGTGAACTTCATTCACGCAAAATGTGAAATTGTGAAAACGTCTGGAAGTCAATAAAAATTAAAATTATTTTTTCCACTAAAATCATGTGATATTTAATTGTCTCTGTAATGAATTTCAGTCTTTCATTCACATCAATTTTGGTCATAACCAAATCTGTACTCGAGGCTGAGACAAAGATAAATGCAATTTTGTGACATTTGGGCGATGGCGGCGAAAATTGCACGATGCCATCATTCGGGTGCTCCAAGAAGGTGAAATAAAAGAATAAGTGTTTCATAACTTTCTCAAACTTTCGGCTTTTGCGCATTTTTTCACCATCTTTCTCGCGCAGTGATTGTGATTATATTACATCTCTTCGATATTCATCTAACAATCCCCGATAATGGATTGAGATGGTGTTTTTGCGTACGTGAAAGACAGACAGTGAAGAAAAGACTCACTTTGGGATGGGAAAAAGTGGAAATTCTTTTTGGTGAAACATCACAGAGAAAGAAAGAAGAAGAAAAAAACGGAACACGTCTTGAAGAAAGTTGATCTGAAGCGGTCGAAAAGCGATTGAGTCATTGGGAGAAAAAAGAAGAAATCATTATGGACAGAAAGACAGTGAAGAAGGTGAATTGCACTCTTATTTTCGGGCAATGCTCAGCTCTTGTGAAGTTGGAGTCCAACTGACCTACCTCAATAACTCTGGGTGACTCTGAGACAGCGCGACTTGTGCAGATGCAAGTCTCGTAACAGAGCGACTGTGTCTCCATTCCTTATGGCTTTGGACGCTTTTCACCATCGCATCTCGACTCCTGCATCGCACGTAACAAGTGGAGTTGAACATAAATTGTAGAACACGTTTGAAATTACTCAATCGCCACTGTTTTTCTTCTCCCGCTCTCACCAACATTCTTTTCCAACCGCGCTCTTGGACACTTTTCGCCAACACGCCGTGCTATTGAGAAGAACAGATGGTAAATGTGTGCGCTTTTGTCTCTATATTCCTTCGGGATTTGACTATGAACAAACTTCTTTTGAGAGACTTTTTCCTCAGCGTGAAACATATAATTGCCTTTTGAGCAGATGGAGAAAAAAAGCTCACATAATTGACCCTCGCATTGATTTTGACCGGAAAAAACCTCGAGGCGATCACCTCAGGAACTTTCAATTAGAATGTACAGCGAGATGCTTTCGTTTAGACAAGAGTGAAAGACTCTGTCGATGGGCAAAAAAGAGGGCTTCAATATTAGGTTCGAGAGCGAAATTAGCTGTCAAGAGTCTGACTTTATGGCCGCATTCATAAGCTGAACTAATCACAGCAATGGAGACTTTTCTCTATGAAA